TCGTTTGTGTGAACATTGGTTCGTTAGGACAGTGGGCAAAAGATGTGGCACATAGTGTTAACACTAGCAGTGCAATAATCATTTCCACTGGGGAAAAAATTGAATAAATTATTACATATTATATCAATATAAAATATAGGCGAATCATGCATATGGCATCACTTCGAAACTACACTGTACCGAAAAATTAAAACAGAGATTTGTCCTTACAAACTTAAATCATTCGGAACGCACTCATTTGATAACAGTTGATCAAACAAATGAATAGATTCATACATGATATTTTAAAACAAATAATTCGTTCTTGATGTAAACCAATGGCTTTTGAACTTGTGATACTGGGATAGCTATTTCCCTATTGTAAAACAAAATTCTTTTGTGAAATAAGGAGTCATACCGAATTTCTACCTATCTTTAGATCTAGCTTGTCATTTTAACTTCAGATAGCAGTCCATATAATTAACAGTATGTGACATTATTGTTTTGTCATTCCTTTGTTTTCATGTCAGCCCCACTTCATGCCTGTTAAATTGTCATCCTATATAATTTTAGTGTCGTCCTATGATTCTTCGTCCATAATAAAATGAATTGCTCTTTATGATTCACAGAAACAAAGGATTAATCTAATATACCTTATCTTTCAAACAGGGGACTCTATGATCGGAGTATAAGTTACATTCAAATATTATTCATATACACACGCACACGTGTATGAGACACGTCCGCCAAGCAATGTTAGTTAAGCACCAGGAAGTCATGTTTTGTTTCAATTCGTCAATGTGAAGTCAAAGTTAAAGATGAACAAAATAACCAAAAACTATTTATCATTACAGTACAATCATTGCAATCTCTTTTATATCTATACTATCAATACTTTGACATTGGCTAACATTTTATAATAACATATTTTAGGTTTAGGTTTAATAACTACTCACATATAGTAGATGGCAGGCAGTCTGGCGTTATTTTCAAGATGATATATAACACTAACACCGTGTATATATAGTCCATGTGGTAGGAAAGTCTAAAGCTCGTTATTCCTGCATTCTTTTATATATCCGCCCACATAATACATTCGAAGTAGCAAATCGTTAAAGATTTAAAGACAACCAAACTATAGGTACGGTTCTGAGAAAAAACAAGTATATGATATTTGGCAAGGTGAACTTCCGGAATTCATTGGGTATTATTTGAAGGGTAAATTTCAAATTCCAAAAGTTTCCAGTGAGACCAACAACTTACTAACTAGAGTAATTTTATATTTGGCTACTCGACAAGAATTTCGACCAATCGAAATGGGATGATGAAATACAGGAGAGGTCAGTTAATGCTTCCTTTATTTTTCCGGATATTTTGCGCTTTGTTTCATTAGTTAGAAATCGTTATGATTTGTTTTGCCCCAATCCTGTATTTTATGCCATTTCACTATGAGCGTAAAAACTGAATATATGTATTCTTGGTCGTTGATATTTGCTTATTTAAAATTTAATTGAAGATGACTGCTTGTACCTTCCGACCAGTTTGCCAAGAATGTATACTGAGAGGAAACAGAAACGCAATTAGGAATTTCCATGTCAACTACGGGAAATAGAAAAGGGTTTTAGAATGTAATTATGGTGTAACTGGAAGATAGTTGACCACTCTGTCATCTACGAGAATTTCATTCGTGTACGTTAAGTAAACCTTTCAAATTTGACGTTGATTCAAGAGTACCCCACTCAAAATGAAGTGCGTTCTGGACCCACCAATATCGTGTGTGCCCCCGAAAGCTGCAGTAACTACACAAACTCTTTTGTTCATTGAATTGATCGGGGTATCAACCCTCCTCATTGGTATACGATTCCATTCCTCATCCAGCGCCAACGCCAACTGAGCGACGTTGATTGGAGGATTCGGCCTACGTCTTATCCTTATGTCCAACTCGTCCCATAAATGTTCTTTTGGGGAGAGGTCAGGGCTGTATGGGGGCCAGTCTAGGGTGGGGACATTGTTTGCTGCGAGATAACCACGGCAAACCCTCGCTAAATGCGGCCAGGCGTTGTCCTGCTGAAACGTCTCTGTAGCGGACGGCCGGGAAATTTCCCTGAATAACGACCAGAGGAGTCTTAAGACCGAAGGCACGCAGTCGAGTACGCACTGTCTTTGGATCAATTGGAACATGATGATGCCAATTGTGTTCCTTGCTGTTTCCGTGGCCGTCAGAAAGCGATTGCGTAGGTGCGAAAGTCGCATTGCCCTATCCTGTCGACGCGTCGTCACACGAGGGCGACTGCCTCGGGGACGGTCTGCAACCCTTCCGGTGGCATGTAGTCTTTGGATGAGGCGGCGATTGTTTGATGGACGGACTCCAAATTGATTAGCGACCTAATTTTGCGGGGTACCTTACATAAAAAGTGCAATGGCACGACCCCTGTCAACTTCGGACAGTCGTGGCATTTTTACGGTGAACTGTTTATGCTTAAAATGTGGGAAATCGAGACGGTATACGTCTGAAGATTCGCACACACAGATTTTGAACCAACCCTTTATACTGGGTTCGAGATATCGTGCTTTTGTCTCTTATTCTTTTGTACAAGCGGCGTGCGCAGTTTACTACCATAGGGACCTAATTCAAATACACACATTTGTCAAGTTTCAAGGGTGTACGTCAAGGATTTAATTTACAATATTAACTTTCTGCTAATTGCGTTTCTTTTTCCTCTCAGTATATATAGAGAAACCTACATGTAAATGATAAAGGTATCCTCTACATTTTTTTTTATAAATAACAAACTTATCTTATCAGCATACAAAATATCGGACACTTTGGGTTTTTCAACCATTCCCAAACCGTGATAAACTAGGGATTAAGAAGTGCCTCTTTACGAAATTTTAAGAATAGTCTTTCCACAACATCTCAGAAAATAGCGATAACAAAGTTGAACAATCAAAATCCACGGGCCACCTGTTGGTGATTTCGATTTTCCCAGTGGTTCGAATAAATTGATCATGTACGCTTAAAGACCAAAGAAAACCTGCATGTGAAATATGATAACAATTCATTCTGTACTTCACAAGAAATAGGGGTAACAAACTTTGTCAAAAAGTCAAAGCTTAATGCTTTTTCTGCTTTTGCTTTTGAGCCAAATATTGAATTAAACTGCAGCATACAGCTGTTTCGTCTTCGTCCTCCTAGGATTCGTCAGTGATGTTAAGATTCTAAGTATTTAACCTAAGAGGCATTAAACATTAACGGCTAAGGTCAAAGATGGCATTCCATTTAAAATTGATCATACACCAAGTGCGACCAAGGAGGAAGTGATATAAGAAAATTAATAATAGCTGTCCCAGTACTTCTTAAGCATTGATAAAGGACTGACTACGCAGGAGGGATGCTATAAACAGAACATCATATGATGATGTTTACGTGACGTGCGGATGAAAGGAGTGAAAGGGAACCTATAATTATCTCAAGATTTGACCATCCTTAATTATAGTAATGCATTATCCGTCCGAAATTTGCATGTGAGATTTAAAGAGAGTACTATTTTAAGGACGAACCTCAAGCCCGATTTGTACAGCCTGTCATATGACGTGGTTTGCCAAAACCTAACCTATATTATCTTACATTTTTACGAGTTTCTCTATCAATTTAATTTAAATAATATAAATAGCAACAGGAATTATCGGTGCCTGTGCGACTTATTTGAATATTTACAACAAATTGGATGAACATATCGGAAGTTTAATATTGAGAATTATAAGAAGATTATAAAACTACAAATATTTCCTAAACAAAACACACAGAATATCTTAAATGCGAGCAAAAACACGGCGTGGAAGTTTATCATAAATGTATATATAAAGTTTGACAAAGAAAAATAATACACATTGGTATTGTAAAATATAAATTCACACAAATTTAGACACGAAGTAGAATTTGAAGTAAGATATGGATAAATGCTGTATTCAAAGTAATAACAAACCCGTACTTTCGAAAATGGACAATAATAAATGGGTAAATGTCAACACGCAAAACAATTCCATATCAAGTACATAAGGATACACAATATCCTAGCAAAATACACAAATATCACATACAAAATATAAAAACAATAATGGAAGGTTACATTTGCAAATATATGAAAACTGAAATGATTTGACGATCTAAATAATATATAATGCATTTTAAATCATACACGTAACATTTTCATATGTTTAAAAGTGATACACTGGGATTCGTGGGATCAAAGACATTTTGTGATATTTTCGTTTCAAACATATTTCAGAAACACCACTTTTACTGATAAGATATTGGATCTTATAATCAAGAACATCATCCTTTTGTCTGCAATGGTATGCTATAATTCTGGTAGATGCATTACTAGGAATTTTTTTCAATGATACGATTATAATTTCGTTTAGTTCTTTCAATCGAAATAGACATAAGAAGTAGGAAAACACATTCATTCTTACGGATGTGTCATTCAAAAGATTTCTCAGAATTTTCGAAACGTTTGAAACACAAGGTTAGAAATCAATCCTATCACAAATAAGTTCTTCCTTTAAGCCCTTTCTTTTCAATACCAAATAAAGAAGTTAAGCTTAACGATGCTGATTTTGGTAAAACTATGAGTATCTTATTGAAGTTTGATTATTTGACTTGGGTTGAAGTTAGTGCGGCAATATAATTGTTAAATACCATATGGTATGAAAAAGGTTTTCATGTCACTTACAGTTCACTTTATAAAAATTAACTTTATGTTCAGTTATTTTAAAGAGAAACGATCAAATGTAAATTAAGCTAGTAAATATATTCCAGTGCTTTCCATTCAATATGAATACAAGCATATGCATAGCATCCGGACCTTTTTTTTCAAAATAAGCCGTTCATTGAACGTTTAGATATAACATTTTGTGAAATGAAAACGTTTCTTGTTTAAACTCAGTTAGTCAGGGACATATTCTATAACCAGCTTCCGAGATCGTTAGTTACGGAAAAATAAAAAAAAAAAAAACTATTATTGAAGATTTTCGAAATCGATATTAATGTCATTTCTAAGGTGTGTTATAGCGGCTATTGCTCTTCTCAGATTGCGACATGTGAAGATAGTGGTATCTGAACGGTCCATCTCCATAAAGGAAATGCTGGCTCGGAATTTGCTTGGTTCAATCGGTCTAGCAAATCGCATTAGTTTCTTCATCTCGCATATCACAGATCGGATGGGCTGGTGGACATTAAACCTACGCTCGTTTAACAATCTGGAATGTTGATGACAATTTATAATGGTCATGTTCAATGCTATTTCTGACATCAGTTCAATTCCGTTGATAAGTGTGTCTGACTGAAAAATACAAAACATCTATTCATTAAAACGTATAATACACAACAGAATTACGTATTAAATAAAGTTAGTGAACCGTTCCTTTCCTTAATTACAAAACATGACCGAAGTGCTTAGAGATCATCAGATAAAAACACTTTTGTTATAGAAAATAATAACATAAGGGAAATAGAAGAAAGACAAGTACATTTCGGTTTAATTTCGTGCCTCAGAATAGTGTTATGGTATCGTTGAAAGCTTTGGGTTTAAATTTCAACTTCTTAAGAACATAGATCGCTATCTGACAATTTGGTCGATTTTAATTGTTAAACTTGGTTACAAACAGAAAAAAGTCAACTAACCAATTTGAAAAAGTTCATGTACTTCAAAAACAATTGGTGTCTAGATAGCAGATAAAAAACTAACTAATGACTCGGCGATATTCATCAAGTCTATTGAAAGATCATTTGAAACTTACCATGCTAATGCCACTTTGAAATCCATTATGGTCGTATGGACTCATTTCACAGACGTCTCTCTGCATCAGTATCGTATCGCTCTGGAATAAAAATTGGAACATCAAAGAGAAACTATCAAGATTGCAATATACTGGGAATGAAGGTGACTGGAATAATAAACGAGAGGGAAGATAGTGAAGGTATAGGTGTTATATTAAATGTAGCACGGGGAACTAGGAAAGAAGACTGATTGTTCACTAAAAAGATCAGAATCAAAAAAGTTTTTACGTTTTTGGGGGTGGTTTTTTTTGTCACGTTTTTTCTTTTTACATTTCTGTTAAAAATATATATCAAACATTCGTTGTCTGTCATACAATGTGTATGAAATGTAAAATTGACACAATTGTTTTAAAAAAATAGTTTTTTTTCTATATACAACTGTTGTTTGTACTTACAAGCTCATTTACTGCTTCTTGGAGGACATATTCGGCCTGTGTCATCAACTCATTCAGAGAATCTACGTAGCACACAGGAACAGATGAGATTCCGGTAGACTGGGTGCAGGATAGTGACGTGTCTGTGGTAAACACATCCAAATCTGCCACGTGTAGGTGTTGGTGTGTAAAAACAGGACCGCTAGGACAGGATGAAACCGTCGTTCTTATCAAAACCAGGAGTAGGATTAAAACTATGGTGACGGTAGCTGGAAAATATATAAGAAGCACTGAGATAATCATACTCAATGTAACCACATCATGGTTTCCATAAGGAAAACAAAACAACTTGGCGAATTTAGAATTACATGCAATCTACAGCAAGTTCAACTTCAACACACGTTTGCATTAGTGACTCCATTTCTTAAAAACACTTGAAATTCATCGTTTTATTAAACACATAAATCCGTATGCATCAAATAGAGTCATCAGTTGTATTAACAACTCATAAAATGATTTTTTTCTACAATTTGAAAAGAATTGCATTTATTGGTAATACCACGGTCAGCCGTCTCAAGCTCAATCGGGTATGTTTTCAACTTAAGGGTTTTTTCTGCAATTCCATTACCACAGCTTAGTATCTTATAGTGTACAAGACAGGTGTCGCTGACGGGGATTTTCAACTTTCAATTCAGTTTAGATGATATGAAATGAGATGGTTTTGTTTATAAAAAAACATCGGAAATGTTATTAGATAAAATGTGAATTAAACGTTTTCTTTTTCCTATATATAAGTTTTAAATGATTATCAAGAAACAAATGGTAATAAACAAGACTATAAATTGTAACATATTTTAAAGAACATAATTTGCATATGACTCGTAAAACTAGTTATGTTTTAAACAACGAATTATACAACATCATACCCGTGTAACCCAAACTAAACTGCATGGTGTCTGAATAGGACAAAAACAGTGACACAGCAAAAACTGAACGAAGGACAATATCGAACATCTGTAATAACAACAGCTTCAGCGATGCATTCATTGGTGTGTATAGTGTCTATTTCAGAAGTGCTATTATTATACATTTGTACCGTATGTACACGTTAATATTTAATACGAAGGGGTTGAAACTATTTACGATGTAGATTTTCACATTAAATCAGAAGACAATTATACAGCACTGTACACAACTTACAAAATAATGCAGTTAAAGTTATAAAATATATTTCACCGTTACCGTCTGGTTTACTAACAAGTTAACGCCATTCTGCTTTGAAACAAGTACTTAGTATTAATGATGGGTCTATTTAATGGTATAGAAAAAGAATTTCCGCAGATATTTCCAAATTCAACCCAAATAATTCACATTCAATACCATGAAGCAGCGTGGTAAAAAAAACGACCATCATAAACAGACGGAGAAACAGATCAATATCATCAATTGTTTACGTGATTTTTTAAGAATATCTTTTTAAATATAGAACTGGTACTTCCCGCATGATAACCAATTAAAGCAGGAACTGGTGTTATAATCTTTGTCAATTTGCATTATGACATAAAAAGCCAGTTAAAAATTTTCAAAAAAAAAACGATAGGTTATATTTAAACAATGAAACCAACCTAACAATAGCCTCTTATTGTCGGTTCATCATAAATTAACTGAAACAAAGGTGTGTACCGTGTTTGGAACATAGGTGTATAACAATGTATTAGACAAACCAGATTTAAGTTACAACCTTAATCACGATAACATATTTGGGGTTGGCACGAACATTGTAATTGATCACGGATGAGAAATTCAAAAAAATGTAAATTGTGTACTTAGAAATCATTGGTTATGATTCGTTCGTATGCCATTCCTTTGTTTATATATATATATATATTTGTCACCAATGTGTACTGAATTACACGTGGTGAGAGGTTGCGTGTAGTACTGATTTACAATACCCTATGCTTACAAAATAACTTCTATACGATACAATTTGCCGTGGATCATCACAAGCCTATCTTAGTATATAACGGAATAAAATCTTGTTATAAATACTCCGACTGTTCTAAGTACATTAACTTAAAAATCTACATCTTTATAAAACAGTACTTAATATCTCACACCAATAATTTAATCAAGACACATAATTCCCTACTCGATTCTGTTTAATTTAATGATTAAATGTCCAATACTACCCTTATACCATATAACTTTTTTTTCAAATCTCTAAATCTCAACATTAAATAACTTCACCAAACATGTTTAACCCCGTACAATATTGAACTGAACCAAATTTATCATATCTGTTAGATTGCGACTGTTTCAGCATCTTAAAAATCTCATTTTAACACAAGCGATTTATTAGAAATGCGGTACTTGTTTCTAGCAGATGTTATAACTTATCCGAAAAGTTTTGTTTTGTTATCTTAGTCATAATGGCCTGTCTTTCTTCTGATTGTAAGCGAGTAAATATCCCCATAGATTTGAGACAGGTGAAGCAAACATAACAGTACACGCTGTTGATGAATGAGGTGGTCTACCTGGAAAATTATTACAATAGGTCTGTATAAAACAAGTAGTGCATCCTAGTAACTCACTCGCTACTTCACTCATTAGTGTCCCGTATAACAGCAAGAACGTTATTATATACTTGTATATAGATGGGCTGTAATGCTTATGTGATAAAAAATAAATTAACGCGAAAAGTCACTGTGATTTTGATATACCTAGTAGTATATCCAAATACCTGGTGTCATTCTTCAGAATTCGTTAATTAAAAAAAAATCCTTTTGATGATAACAGAAGCGAATCTTTCCCCAAGATAATCATCTCTGGTGCAAATTTACCTATAGTAATCAACATAAACAACATCGTAAAAAACAGGTTTTAAAATGTAGCATTGATATAACATATACTTACGTTTGAAATTCATTTCAGAAATAATTGATATTAGAACTAAAAAAATATAAGTGTCTAAAAGACAACACTGGCTCAGATTTTCTATTTAAAGTAATTCAGCGACGATGTTGGTTGTTTTTACATCAACTACATCGTTTATATAGTCAATTTTCTGGAACATCCATTTATGATATTTTAAATTATGGGAATTAGTGATGCAAAAGTAATTAAGAATGTGCTAAACTGTGTTTCCGTTGCATGACATACTGAATATACGTAGTTAGATAAAAGTTAAAACAAGTACAATATATGAGTCAAAGAGTTTCCCGCTTGGACCCATGCTTTGTAATGTAAGGTGTCGGATGGTGATTAATGGCACTCGCTGGTTATTGTCTTCGTCAACATATGGATCCTATTAACACAAACCTTAGATCAAAGACAAACGTAAAATAGTTGGGTTTTTTTATAACCAATGATCAGTGCATTAGATAAGCTTGTATAATACACAGTGGTATGTTTAGGCAGGAAATATAAATGTTTCGGTTTTGTTCAACGAAGAGCCAAAACGTGAGAAAATGACGGAATATTTAATTTTCTTTTCGACACAGGATACTAAGGTTTCAAAACTATTTAAGCGGTATATAAAAAAGCATTGTTTATTTGAAAATGATCTTCATAAAAAGATCAACACACACTCTGCTCCCCAGTAAATAATCTTCAACACCGAAAATAGATAGTACAGTAAGATTTTTATTTATTTTCACAAGTTAAAATCGAGATATAAAAACAATTGAGATACAGGTCTTTATTCAGAAATTTTGTCAATTTTTAATACGATGATGTAATTCGTTTCCTTGGCAAGATTCTACTATAACAACAACTATTACAAACGGTAAATCTTGTATGAACACAGAAATAAAGAAAAATTGTCATAGTTAACCTTGATAAAATATCAAAAAGCAAATTTGTACCCGAATTTTAAGATGTTTACCATGTGTCTTAACGACAGAAAAAGCTCAATCTAAGCTAGGACTATAACCTTTGGAATATATTTATGTTAATTGATATATACCAAACGGCACGTACCACGTGAAAAAATGTCCATCACTAGTAGATACTGAACAAAGCAAGAAATATAAAGTAAATAAAAATAAACACACGGACTGAGGTTGGATGTGTTGTAAAAATCACAGCTGTAAAATAAGTAAGTTGATATGATTTACGTGTCATGTTAAGAAAAACTGGTCGAGATAGAAAAAATGTATGTCGATATCCTCTATCATACTCTCCACCGCAAAATGTAAAGTTTGACATATATGTATTCCGTACATAACACTGGCAAAACGTTCCAACACTATAACTCAGAAGAATTAATATTGAAACCCTGGTAATGAGTATTTTCGAATTTCAACCAATCAATATTAAATTTATTGTCTTCTGGAGTTTTAAGGAAATATACTGCAACAGAAAAAATAAACGTAATATTGTATGTCGCATATTATGTCGTAGGAAACCCTTTAACCTTGTATAGTGGAACATCTGTAAAGGGAAAAAGCATTTTGAAGCAAAGACACAAACACCGGACAAAGAAATAAAATGTCACAATACTAATCTTAAGAACATATCATCTTGGATTATCCTGTGATATATAATATTAAAAAGAACTAACACCAGATTAAAAGCTATCATAAGAAATATCGATATGTCAGTGTCAAATTGAATATTCTTGCAGAAGCAATGCGTATGATGTGACCTTAATAATATCTAAACTTTGCTCAACCAGAGGAGGCAGATACCGATCTGTAGTGTTAATCACTTTACAGCTGTGCATAATGTTCCGAATCTGAACAAACGAGTGTATGACCAGTGTCCAGTTTTGACTACTATTGAAGGCAGTACTGAATCTGTACAAGGTCTGTGTGGTGACAGTGTCCAGTTTTGACTACTATTGAAGGCAATGGTGAATCTGCACAAGGTCTGTGTGGTGACAGTGTCCAGTTTTGACTACTATTGAAGGCAATGCTGAAGCTGTACTAATGTCTCTTTGGTGACAGTGTCCAGTTTTGACTACTATTGAAGGCAATGCTGAATCTGTACAAAGTCTGTGTGGTGACAGTGTCCAGTTTTGACTACTATTGAAGGCAATGCTGAATCTGTACTAATGTCTGTGTGGTGACAGTGTCCAGTTTTGACTAATATTGAAGGCAATGCTGAATCTGTACAAGGTCTGTGTGGTGACAGTGTCCAGTTTTGACTACTATTAAAGGCAATGCTGAATCTGTACATGGTCTGTGTGGTGAGAGTGTCCAGTTTTGACTACCATTGAAGGCAATGCTGAATCTGTACTAAGGTCGGTGTGAAGGCAGTGTCCAGTTTTGACTTATAATTATTGGAAGCCAATTGAATGTGTTTTAAGGTCCATCTTATGCCAGTGTCCAGTTTTTTACTTCTGTTGATTCTTTGTCTGCTGAAAAGCTGTGACAGTGTATATTGTTTAAAGTCTGTTTGATAAACAAACTACTGTTATTTAATGTTGGTGCTGAATCGAATGTAAAACAAAAATGTTATGTCTTTATTTACTTTTCTCTCACCTCAGACAGGGATATCCTATGCTATACCCTATTTAGGTTTTTCTATCACATCAATGTCTAGTTTAGACTCCTTTTTTAAAGACAAAAAATTCTATGCTAATCATACTGATGTCTGCTGAATTAACATGCTTACCATATTCAATATTTACTTTTAATATCATCAGGATGAATATCTTTTACTGATTATCATATCAACAACACCGGTCACTCAAGTACAGGGATTTCTGGGAAAGAAGAACAGAAAAATCTTCTGACATCTCCATTGTAGTGTTATTATACGGCTTAAAAGTAACTAGAATGTACAACAGAAATGATTGTGCATGTTACTTTCAGGAAAATAGAAACCAAATGTAAACTGTTTGGCTGGAAAAAAAGGAGTTTGTATACTGTTAAATAAAGCTGAAAAGTCAACATCACGTTGTGTTGACATGGTTAACAGTATTATTTAAAAACAAAAACATTTGTAATAGATATTTACGTGCAATAACATGTTGTACACACAATCACTTACTAAAGTATCGGTAAAACCATCCAAACCAGAAGTCACATATACATATCCAAACAAACTAAGAATACACCTTGTGTATGTAACAAGAGGTACAAGGGCCTTAACAGTCATCTGACTATAAAGACTTATATACGAAAGAGGCAAAATAGGCCAAAAATAAATGGCTCAGATACTGTATAGCTTCATAGAAGACATTGCTGGGTCATCAAGATGTTTTCTGCAAACTTGAAGTCATATTCTTTATACATGCAGTACACTATTTCCATTTTTCTGGACATATTGCTTGTTGTAAAAACAAGCTACAGGCCCAAATTCAAGACCCTTGGTCTTTCAGTTATTGAAAAGAAGTTGCTTAAGTTTTTTAACACATTTGACCCCTCTGCACTTGAAAGTTGGTCCAATATCTGCACCCTTGGCCTTTCGGTTATTGAGAAGAAGTCATTTAACCATTTTAACACATTTGAAACCTGTGACCTTGAAAGTGGGTCAATGTCATGCCTATTATCTAGTGGTCAATCAACTTTCTATATTTAAGAAATAATTCCTCTCTCTCCATGATGTTTTAGACTAAATTTGGTTGAAATCCATAAAAGCATGAAGAAAGTGTAGCATTTTGAAGCAAAATCTTATCTAACTTCCCCTTTTGGGGCCCCACCACCAAGTCCCTAGGTGTTGAATCAACTTTCTGAATTTAAGAAATAATTCTCAACGTTCCATGATGTTTCAGACCAAATTTGGTTGAAATCCTTCTAGGTATGAAAGAGGAGTAGAGTTTTAAAGAAAAAGTTTATGCATGGCCACGGATAAAGCACAATGACTATGGGTCATCTTGACCCTTCAGGTCAGATGACCTAAAAATGCATGTACCTGTATTACATTGTATATTCATACTAAATATTACCTTGATACAACACAAATCTGGCCAAATTTTAATTTGCAAAAAACCACAAACTAAAATCTAAAGAAATTGAATAAATAAACTTCTGATGAGATTAGCGAGTATGATTGGCTGTTTAATATAGATTTCCTTCTGGTATAGTATGGAATTCAGTGGAATCCAAACAAGTGATATGCCTATATAATCTGATGGCCACTGCCTTTTGAACAAGTTGAGTAAGCCTTTAGTTGTGGGTCAATTCCCTTATTTGCATTTTAAGACTATTTGTTTTCTTGCTCATTTTTTTTGAGAATTTGAGAATTTTTAGCATAAATTATAGAAATTACAAAACATTTGTCCAATTTTACAACATACTTGTTTTCAATGAAAAATACATACTGAACTGTTTTCTTCATTTCTGATTGTTTGATGAGTAGGACTGTTGGTGTATCTTTGCGTTGACCCGTGACAAAAATGTACAACTCAAAGGGGGATAATTAACATGAATGAGTTGATTTAGTTTACTTACAACAAAGTTACTGAAATGAACAAATAGATCAAAACTTCAACTAAAATATAAAAAAAAACATTGATTTAGAAAATTGTACAATTAACATGGAAATTATATCTTAGAGCAATGGTGTAGATATAGACTATGACTAGATGTTATTTCACTTCCTGGGTAAAAACTGTCAAAGTAAACACAAGCATAAGTAAAAATACATCAAAAGAGAACTTTACACATAACAGGTACATTTAGTTGAGTATTTTGTTGTCCATGATTTCAATTTCCATATAAAGCCAGTGTATGACACTTTAAACAGCTCCAATTCAACTTTCGTTAACTGACATTGACTTTCTCAAAGTATTCTTTGGATTCAACAGGATTTGGCTTAATGGTAGCACCATCTGGTATCCAATTGGCTGGACACACTGCAAAAGAAGTATACATCTCATTTAATATTAAACAAACATGGATATTTACATAATGCCAAAGAAACACTGATCTCTTGAGGTTTTCAATGAAAAACATGAGATATCCAGAGAGATGCATTGACTACAAAAATTTTTCCTAGAAATTGCCTTTTAATCTCATCATCATAGAATAACAGTACTCTGTATAATGAAAACCTCCATTTTGCCATTTTGTGGTTCCATTATAAAATAATGAATGGAGTTACATTATCTCTTTACATTGATGTGCCATTTAAGAAAATTTGGTTGAAATCTAACCTGCTGTTCAAAAGGAGTATTTTCTTTCTAGGTTTTTTTCCTTAAATACTTAAACCACATTTTGAGAACTAGCAACCACTGAGTTCCAATGCCCAAGGACATATAATGCCTCAAATCAAGTAAGTTTAAATAGGGAGGGGACCTCAATCCATTCTTTGCTGTTATAATTTGTCCTGTGATGGGAAACCAGACCCAACAGGCCAAATGTTGCAGTGTTAATGCAGTAATCAAGGCCATATTTCAATGTACCATATTTATCTTGAAATTTACCCCCTGGGGCCAATATCTAAAATCTGCTTATTACCACAAATGCCAAAGCATTTGTTTATAATTCTGCTGAATAGCAATAGACATGTACTGCTACATTAAGGAATCAAAAAAGGAAAAAGGTTTTGAGAGTAAAGACACTAATTTTTTTTACTGACAAAATTACTGCAAGGTAAAAAAAGTAGTTAACTGAAGATTGTTCCAACTTCATGAACTACAAACTTGCTTCAAAACTGCCTTTAAAGTTCTACATTTTTGATCAGCTTGTATGAAGAATATATAATTTGACAGGCATGTGATCTTACCTTCACCATGTTTCTCCACAAACTGAAATGCCTGTATGAGTCTTATAGTTTCATCCACTGACCGTCCCACCGGTAGATCATTTATAGTTATCTGTCGCACAATGCCTTCCGGATCTATTAGAAATAATCCCCTGTAGGAAAATTAGATCTAAGTTACAAGGATGTCAATCTTATGATATCAAGACTTTATCAAAGTTTGTAGTTGTGTTAAAGCTTACTGAAAAAAAAAGACTTTTGCAATAATTAGACAGCATACTTGGTGGCACATAGATGCAGGAATAGAAGTAGCTCCCTGTCTAATGATCTGGCAGATTAACACTCACCGTAATGCCATTCCATCATCTTCAAGAAGAACACCATAGTCACGCGAGATCTCTTTGTTGAAGTCTGCCAGCAAGGGATAATTCAGACCACCTAAACCTCCTTGCTGTAATGAAAATTAAACACTGGTATAAATTTGTGGCCAAATTTTTCATTTTTATTATACCTGTATTAGCTGTTGATTGTCATTTCTCATTTGAATATATTAAAGTTCAAAATGATTTTTTTTAAAAAATCAGTTACAACAGATGTGAATAGTAATAGGATTACTAAAAACAAGCTACTTAACACAAAAAGGTTATCAAAGAAATCATATATCTTTGATAAATAGGGAACGGACAAATAAAACATTCGAAAATTCTTTTGATCAATTAAAAAGATGTTCCTACAAATTGCAACTTTTTGTTTACAGTCTTTAATCATTTGTTTCGTCTGCATGTCCTTCTAATTTGATCATACATCTACTATCAGCAGGTTGATACAAGTATAATTAGGAGACTCAAATGTACATATGAATGCTGATGACACTTTGTATTTCTAATGAATCATACATTCAAAATCAACCAATAAATCCACAAATGATAGGAGTTATCATGCTGAGATTTAACTAAGCTACATGTTTAGATATAAAGTTTACCTTCCTTGGTGTGTTGATCCAGGCAAAATGACTGAAGTGTGAGTCTGTGGACACACCTATTACTTCTGTGTTGAGGTCGCGAAATCTTTGTATGTTGTCACTAAATGCGATGATCTCGGTTGGACACACAAATGTACTGAAATATTTGAAAATATTGAATCTTGTGATCAATATATGTAGACAAACTACAGGTAATGGCATTCTTTCACAGATAACTGAAAACACACTTGGAAAAATCTTTTGTAATGTAATAAATAGTCATACATTTGCAGTGAATGTTTTTTATAGACCTTCTCTTCTGTCAGAAGGAAATATTCTGAGGCAAGCAGGATCGAAATGATGTTTTTTTTTTCATCTGTAAAAATCCCCAAGTGAACTTAATGATATGTCTAATCTATTCATAAAGGAGTTTATCATACAGATGTCTTGTAACTGACTGATTGAAAACAACACTCTGTAAAATTCAAAAAAATAAAATTGAGATGAATATTATATTATCAATACTTTTATTTAATTGATAAATTACCACATGACCTACAATAAAGTTACAAATTTTTGGTAAACGAAAACAAAAATTCCTACATGCTGATACTTACAAATCTAATGGATAGAAAAACAGCACAAGATATTTGCCCTTGAAGTCTGCTAAGGAAATATCTTTGAACTGACCCTCAACAACAGCAGTCCCTTTGAAATCTGGTGCTGGGTTCTGGACAGAGGCAGACAGAAGCTTTGAACCTGAAACCAATTTTTAAAATCAGTGCTTTTTCAGGATAGTCTAATCTTGCTATGCTTGAAGGGGAAAAAAGACAAAAGGTCTATTGGGCCTGCATTGTTCATCTGGTATTCAAAGTCTTGGTAAAAGAGAAATGTCAAATTAAGTTGACTCCTGAGACCTTGAATATCAGTCAAGGTTACTTCCTATTGAAAACTTTATTGGATTTTGTATCTTCCGAACCTGTCACTTAAGCTTCCTTTTGGAAAATCAGAAGATGTTGTTTGAAAGTTCAAATTTGACTCCTTTTACCTTGAACATTGGTTCAAGTTTATTTCTTTTTGCAAATTTCAATGGATTTAAGAAACCTACCATCCTCATATCATAATTCAAGATTTTTTGGTTACGGAAAAGAAATCATTTAAAGGGAAAAGCTGACACTGGATTAACAGATGTCCACACAGCAGCATAAGCTTACTTGGTCCTTAACTAAATACAGTATGCTTCATTTAGGCATTTAACTGGTTTTTTATTTGGTATTTCTGGGCTCTCCTGAATGACAAGGTGACTAGGGCAAATTCTATTTGCATTTATGTGCCAACATCAGTTCTTCTATCTTGTTATATTGGAAGGCAACCTCAACTTGTTAACATTACTTGCAATATTCCTACTCATATGGTAGTTAATGAGATGGTAACTTGTAACAAAATGGGTAGTAGAAATACAATTTAGAGAATATAATTTAAAACAGAAATTTAAAGTACAACAGGTTCTCTGGAAACAATAACAACAGGTGTCAAAAGTCAGGCACTGGACCAGGGTTAACGTCCTGTGATGGACAGGCAGTTTGGTAGCCTTAGATATCAAGGGTGTGCCTCACGCACCTAGCCACTGTAGCGAGATAGCTGGGGAGGGATCGTCGATCAGAGTAGATAGCCTACTGGACGGTAAAGTACATCGGGATCCCTGAGATAAGGTTACATGAGCTTGCACGTGCCTTGATAATTATATGCCTCGCGGGGTGGGGTATTGTCATCCAATCGGGGCTTAGTTGGAATTGAAGTGTTTTGGTATTATTAATACTAAGACAATAGACAGTAGCAGGAGAGTAGCGGGAGAAGAGCAGGAGAGTTTGGAGGCTAGAGCTCGGGAGCTAGACAAGTCAGTGCGGGCCTGTAGCGGGAAGTTTAAGCGGGAGATGGGGGTGGACTTGAACAGGATCTTGTGTAACCACGGCAAGAAATAAAATTTAACTCAAATACCACGTGTCGGAATAATTATTGTGTAACAAACTGATTTTGGTAAGCTTATATCCAAGCAATATCCTATAACGATAAATATTACATCATACAAATGCATAATGAAGATATTCTAGAAATTTGAATTTCACACTGTTAAGTTATGTATTTACAGAATATAATTACAGTCTTGAAAAATTCTACTTAAATGTTGAAGTTGCTAGACGTGCTTAAGACAAACAAGAAGTCCATCAACAGATTACTAGTAAATACCATAACTCATTACTATAATTTGTAACATTGCTATTTAGCAGTTGTATCATCTAAGGTAATGAATTCTGACTTTGAAATATAGAAGGTTAATGGGTTTATGGTGAATCTAACCTGCAAACTCATTTCAGCCTAAGCCATTTATTTGTGCAAATTTTCACTTATACATTAATTCTATATGCCAAGATAGTAATAGAACGATGTCTTTGATGGTGCAGAAGTAGAGCAAGTATTTCAAAGGAAACAAGAGGTTCACTGAAACTGATTAATGCTTCCCGCGAATAACTTTATCGGACAAAAAGTTTTAACAAAGGGCAATAATTTTGTAATCAACGGGTTTCAGGCACTGAATCTGGCACACTGTACATCCTCTGAGTATGACCAGAGTACACATTAGGTTTCATTACCCTTGTTTAAATGAAAGAAAACTTATGCTATGGCCATGAAATTTTAACAAATGGCCCTAACTCTTTAATTTAGGGAATGTAGGCCCCTGAACCTGGCACAATGCATCTCCTCTTATTACAATGTATACACCACATTTCATCATCCTATATTTAATGAAAGCAAAATATGCTGCAGACACAAAATTTTAAACATTTGTTTGAATACTAAGTTTCATTATCATAGATTAAAAGAAAGTAAAATAATGCTCTGGATATGAATCTTAACAAAGGGCTATGATACTGTAAATGAAGAATCATTTGGTACACAGTACATTGCCTTAGTATGACTGATGCATACACAAAGTTTCATGATCCTTGCTTAACTGTGGGCAAAGTTATGCTCTGGATGCTAAAGGTCAAATAAAAAGACAAACGAAAAGATGGACAATCAGAACAAGTGGCAACTATATGCTACCCTGAAAACTTTCAGAGAGCATAATGAAATATTAGTTTCTGTTATATATCTGTAATTTTTTGTGCTTAATAAAATGGGTTACAAGCAGATGACTATTTCAGTAAACATAAACAATACAGAATTTATTCTAGCAGCAACAGCTGGTTATAATTACATTCACATCTATACTGTGTTCATACAGTCCAATTTTTTTTTCAGAAGTCCTTTTCAACTTTATTGCTAAAACAATGGGTCCTGCAATGTATTTCCAGAAATTCTATGAGTCCCATCAAAATTCTTGGAGTACAGGACTCTGAAGTTGCATGTAGATTGATCACTGCTTACATCAATATTTTCTATTGTTAAATAATAAATTATCTTAGTGTTAAGTTGACATGGTATCAATTCTATAAAATTTTTATGATAATGTTGTATCTTTATTTATATATGTGACTTTTTTACCTGTACAAAATTGTCTTGTTTGTTCCATCGCCTTAGGTCTAAACTGTTTAAAACATGACTTTGCAGAATGGATGCTTCTACCAGTGCCACACTGCAATAAGGAGGTAAACCTCTTTACCTGGAACAAAAGAAAGCTAACTATCAATCATCAATATTAGACAAGAAATAAACTATAGATAAAGATAAAATTCTTAACAAAATATACATACAATCTGTATACAATGATGTGTTATGTTCTGATAGCTAATTAAAGTGACATTGATTTATCCGTCATCCATCGGACAATGGATTATTGAAACACTTTAATTTTTGTTCGTGACTTTGTCTTTGCTTTGTTTTATGTATGAGGTGTAACTTATGTAATATTTTGCATCTTAATAAACGGGCACTGGAACACCGGCAAATTTGGTTTTAAGTCTACAGGGCAAACAACTGAGCCATACATAGTTGCTTACATTGTGTGCACATCAAAAACATGTACGGCAATTCTAGCATGTTGGTAAAACAAATCTTTTCTGTCATTGGACACTATTTACAGTGAGATGGTTGAATTTTGTTGTTGCAATTTTTGGTGCTTGCATCCCTTTTGCAACATATTCTGATGGTGGGACATGGATGCTGAAAATATGTAACAATGAAATTATTTTAAAAATGGCTGAAATTGAACAAATTTGCCAAAAACATTATTTCACTGACTAATATGATCCGTCACCCATTTTTTCAATCTATGCGAAAGAAATGTGACCTGACTTCACTTGGATATTCACATTTGCCCTATATACACGTATGGCCATATTTATTTGCCGCTGCTCCAGTAACCGACAGAGGGACTCGAAAGTTTGACAATCTACTTGCCCGTACTGTCGTTATTACTTCATTGATCATACATATATGATAAACAGGTTAAACTTATTTCAGTAAAAACAATCAGAGGAATCTATTGCAATATCTTGAGCTAAGTAGGTTCCTTATTTAACAGTCGACGTTTGACTTTGACCTTAGTACGTATTTGAGTTATATAACCTGAAGACTTAGACGAAATATATCCAAATGGTACACTGTTAACTGAACCATTAGAGCATTCAGGACATTTTAAAATAGTACTTTCTTGTTATCTCCATAATACAAAAAGAAAGCCTCAACTATTCATATTAACATTAACAACACACATACTTACACCAAATCTAAGAAACGTGCTACCGGTGGAAGCCATGATGCAATATTCCTCGTTGTTAAAGCTCTTTAGTATAAGCGCCACCTGCAAATCAAACGTTTGACTGATACAAGAAATGTTGAAATTCCTCTGCCTCTCGCGAACGTTTTAGATAAAAGCATTTAAAGTAAAAGATATTCTCCAACGTTGATTGTGATATAGTAATTTATAGGACAACATCAGTAAATGTGATCCAAAGTTGTTGAAAATGAGCTATCTTCCAGGAACGGCGAGTTTAGTGGAAGAAATAGACAGTATGATTTTTAAACATTTAAGTCGTTTGGTCTGGTTTCTGTACAAAATAACAAATAAGATTATTTGTAACTGTTGAATTATATGATAACAATTTCATTCATTGTTTCTGACAACATACAGGTGTGAACATTTCAGAAAAAGATTCACTCACAACAGCATGATCTTGATCCAAATTGGATTACCAAGATATTGTGTGGTACATAGGTTATTGAATTGTAACCAAATTAAACACCAGATGTTTAAAATTTTTGTTTCCTAATGAATCAGCCCAAACGGTTTTGGCTGATATTTCAATATATATTTGTTCATCTTGCACAACCACACTTTCGAGCAAATTTAGGTTATTTGGCCACCATTTCCATAATCTAGTGAAATTTGTTATTATAAACCCACCAAACTTTCAACCGTGATCCAATTTTTTAAAAATCGCAGAGAGATAGTCAGAACTCTTTGGATTAGGATGCTCCCAACCTGATAAATACATACAAATGTCATGGAACAGATACTTGAGCCTTTCTTCTCCCTACTAGCCTAATACAATTTATATTTACATACAAGTTTTTTAATTTGTAATCCATATTATATATATCATTATATTGTTACACCTCAGAATTATTATTTGCACTTATTATCTATTTTGTCTCTAGAAAAACTGCTGGTTGTTTTACGAGATGGAAGAACATTGATTGGATTCCTAAGAAGTATTGATCAATTTGGTAAGTTTTTATATGATTAAAACAAAATATTGGTTGCTGAGAACAAGTCACCATTATTAGAAATTTCTGTCTATATCAAAAATAAATAGAGCCTAAAAAATAATGATAATAAAATGGAACACTGGTTCATTTCAATTTTAAAGGGTCCATGTCCCACTGATCCCTTCCAAGATTCTTCTTCTTGCAAATTGTATTTGGTTTTTTGAGCATTTAATTTGAATCTCTTAATTTTTTTAACAGCCAATCTAGTCCTTCAAAGAACAATTGAGAGAATTCATGTTGGTAAAAAGTATGGCGATATTCCACGAGGAATCTTTGTTGTCCGTGGAGAAAATGTGGTGCTTCTTGGAGAAATAGTAAGTACAGAATTGTTCAGCTTAAGTATTTCACATTTAACATGCGTATGTTTCTTATTTACGCTTATATCATAAACAAGGCAGAGAATAGAATAGAATTTCTATTAACAGTAGAACTTGAAATACATGATAAGTAATATCATCTTAGTATGGTAATTGAAAAATTATTTGATATTTGTTTTGATTCTGGGTACTTCTGTAGATTAGAAAAATTAATGATAGACAAAAGATTCCTAGAGTAAAAATCCAAATAGGATAATGAAAAGGTTTTAAAAATTTATTATTTCCATCATAACCTTTCTTCCATGGTTGGTGCCAAGATCCATCTGCTTTTATTTGTTTGAAAATACATTATATGATATACTATGAAATATCTGTAAAATACTGGACAAATTCATGTAAGAAAATGGAACCATATGAATTGGCATTCGGGAAACTGATTTTTTTTCTGTGAAGTATCATCTTTTAGATGAGAAATTACTTTTATCCTCTGTGTAGTGGGCACATAGAAAAATATCCGGATGATGTTGTTTCAACAATACAGATAAACTGTGAGAGAAAGAATTTAGTGTACAGTGATTACAAATGCCAGTAAATGGTAGATCTCAATATTTTTATTGGTCTCTCAGACATACTTAATGCTTGTAATCAGAGGTTACATATAGGAACAGCAAATTTAACAATGTGAAGTTAATGTAGTCATTAGTTACACTATCCAATGTAAAGGAGGTTGGGTCAACTCTTGTATTGGAACTTTCACTTAATTATTTCAGATACTTTTAGCTGTCAGTTCACTTGAATTTAATGGAATTTACTATATCTACCCATTCAAGATTATTTTGTAATACTTCAGGATCTGGAAAATGAAAATAATCACCCACTAGAGGAGGTACCTATCGATGATATTCTAGAAATGCAGAGAGAAGAACAGGTACAAAAACAGCAGGCAGAGGAGAGAAAGAAAAAATCCATGCTGGAACAAGGGCTACAACCACATTCAGAAATGCATGAAGAATACCTCTGATACGAAATGGACAGGGGTGTGCAGGGAAACTGAGAATTGTAAACATGGACAAATTTCTTTTTAAGGGTGTTATCGATCATTCATATTGACAAAAATGTCTCATTTTTCTCATTTTTAGATTTTGAAAGTTACCAGTCCAAGGGAGATAACTTTGACAATATAAAACATTTCAAAAAGTTATTGATAGCAAAGGTATGTCGGAGGTGTATTGTACATTTGCTTGTAAACACCAATCTGAAAATATCATTCAATACTTAAGTACATGAACATTTCATATTCATCATCAACTTACATTGCTGGATAATGTATGGGATTTTAATTTCTTCCATTTTTCCAAAAACGATTTTTCATTCAGGATTTGAAATTGTCCTTAAGTTGCAAAAAGGATATTCATGATTAATTTTAGAAAGCTTGAGCTTCTTTCAAAATATTATAATTTGTAACTTTCTAATTTACAGGAATTTGTGAATTTTTTGTTGGAGTATGTGGTATTTTGTGTATTTTTCTATATTTTTTATTATCATTCACAATCAAAGGATCAATCATTAGTTTGTAGACAGGAAGCGTAAGTACAGTTTGCTCCGTTAGATAGGAGTCTGTTATTTTGAGCTTCACACATATACAAATTAAAGTTATTGTCCCGTTAGATAGGGTGAAATATATGATCCGAAGCGTTCATTTTTTTCTTAAAATTTTGTGCAGTAGATTGTGTACAAATTAATGGAACTGATCCGTTAAATAGGAGATAAGTTCTTATTGATAATGTATTTTTCAAGCGTATTACAGTCATGTTGTGTACTCTGCTGAAATTTGCAATGTATTATCATATGATTTGTGTCCTAAGTATGCTATTTGTCTTCAAAGATTTGGTACAGAGACAAATAAATGATATCAACCATACAGTGTGTGTTAGACTATTGATTCATTACATGAAGATTCCAATAGTTTTAGGAGAGTGTCCTTGTTATTAAATGCTATTTCTGAGGAGTACTACCGGAAAATTTGGACCTGGTACCCTGTCTACCAATGTGTTAATCATCTCATGTCGAGAGCATAGCTCATGTTGTCCATTACCTAATATTACCGGATATATGGAATGCCTCTTGATGTGGCCAGGTGTCTAATACTGAAATTTGATCTCGGGATCCACAACATAGAGTTATGACTCTTTTTTCACCACACAAAACATTGTCAACGATGCAAGTCCAATATTTTGATAGTGCAATCATGAATTATCACAGGTTTTTATTTAGATAGCAGCTACTTAATAATTTTGCATCTGTAATAAGATATCATGCCTCTTGTTTATACAGTTATGGCCCCTTTTTCACAGTGTGACTTGAACTGGGTAATCTTAATTCTTATTTCCCCTTTGTCTTGTTTAATCTGCCTTTTCAAAATTACCTGAAATCATGCCATAGACTTAATTATCCAGTAACCTTACATTGTTTATCCTACTTGGGAGAGAATTTATATAGGCTTTTCCTGTTATTCAATCCAATTGACCATGAAAACTTGCCAGTCAAATTTGATTAAATGAAAGCGAAAATGAATTGGCAATCATACGACTGACTTTAGTGTGAATATGAGGTATTTTTGCACATTTTCATTTATTATAAAAAAAACTGTATGAATTCATTGCTTTTTTTCACTGATAAATTATTTCATTCTTAAAGACAATTTTTGTTTTGAAGTAAACACATGAAAAATTGTTAATTTAGTAATATACTTTATTTTTAGATAACACACAGTTTATAAGCAACAGAAACATTGAAAATAGGGATATGTTTAACAACAAATTAGTGTCAATAGTTAGCCTTACAGTTGTATCTCAGATACTAAATGTTGTTTTAGTGAAACTGATACAAACCAACTGTATCATGGTCATCATTATTTCACTACACTAGCATGTTCAAGTGAACAGCAAATAAGATGTAAGATATGATTCAAAAGTAAAGCATATGATGACTCAAGAGGCGTGGGGATGGAGGAATCGGTCCCAAGCCTAAGTGACACCTTGGAGCCAACGGGTGACCAGAGTACAAATGATTTGGTTCCTGATTGTTTGGAAATTTGTTATCTTCTGCCATTTGTGATTTCCATTTGTTTCGTCGATTTTGGAACCAGACCTTGACCTGTGTCTCCGAGAGATGGAGAGTTAGGGCTAATTCTGCCCGCTCTGCACTGGATAAGTAGCGTTTCGCATCAAATGCGGCTTCTAGATAAAATATCTGAGCCCTTGAAAACACTGTTCTCGTCTTCTTCTTCAATTTTGTATTATTTGTTTGTGAACTGCTTCTTGAAGATTCCAGCTCAGTTTGAAGTTTCACAGTTTCTGTATTATTGATCTCCGTTATGGAGACACCTGACGTCGTTTCTCCAGTGACGTAACTTGGTGGCGCGTGCTCTCTTAACTCCTGGCATGAGCGACAGCCACACGTCGAGGCGTTTTCTGTAAAGAAAAATGAAGACAGTTGCTACACAGTAACCAACAGTGTATTGTTAAACGGTGCTAGTCAAAAATGATCATACTTATAATAAGAATGAAAAACTTATCATACATATCACAAGGAGAGGAAAAATTACAACACAAGGAGAGGATAAATTATAACACAAGGAGAGGAAAAATTATCACACATATCACAAGGAGAGGAAAAATTATCACACATATCACAAGGAGAGGATAAATTATCACACATATCACAAGGAGAGGAAAAATTATCACACATATCACAAGGAGAGGAAAAATTATCACATATAACAAGGAGAGGATAAATTATCACACATATCACAAGGAGAGGATAAATTATCACACATATAACAAGGAGAGGATAAATTATCACACATATCACAAGGAGAGGATAAATTATAACACAAGGAGAGGAAAAATTATCACACATATCACAAGGAGAGGAAAAATTATCACACATATAACAAGGAGAGGAAAAATTATCACACATATAACAAGGAGAGGAAAAATTATCACACATATCACAAGGAGAGGAAAAATTATAACACAAGGAGAGGAAAAATTATCACACATATCACAAGGAGAGGAAAAATTATCACACATATCACAAGGAGAGGATAAATTATAACACAAGGAGAGGAAAAATTATCACACATATCACAAGGAGAGGAAAAATTATCACACATATAACAAGGAGAGGAAAAATTATCACACATATAACAAGGAGAGGAAAAATTATCACACATATCACAAGGAGAGGAAAAATTATAACACAAGGAGAGGAAAAATTATCACACATATCACAAGGAGAGGAAAAATTATCACACATATCACAAGGAGAGGATAAATTATAACACAAGGAGAGGAAAAATTATCACACATATCACAAGGAGAGGAAAAATTATAACACAAGGAGAGGATAAATTATCACACATATCACAAGGAGAGGAAAAATTATCACACATATCACAAGGAGAGGAAAAATTATCACACATATCACAAGGAGAGGATAAATTATCACACATATCACAAGGAGAGGAAAAATTATAACACAAGGAGAGGAAAAATTATCACACATATCACAAGGAGAGGAAAAATTATCACACATATAACAAGGAGAGGAAAAATTATCATACTTATCACAAGGAGAGGAAAAATTATCACACATATCACAAGGAGAGGAAAAATTATCACACATATAACAAGGAGAGGAAAAATTATCACACATATAACAAGGAGAGGAAAAATTATCATACTTATCACAAGGAGAGGAAAAATTATCACACATATCACAAGGAGAGGATAAATTATAACACATATCACAAGGAGAGGAAAAATTATCACACATATAATCAGAATGAGCTTACTCCAATTAAATGTTTTTTTGTCAATGTATGAATGTTTGTATACAGAAAGTCAACCTGATGTATAACCCATTGTTCATTGGCTATATAGAATGTGTAACACATCTTATATCTAACGTGTCCTGAGACAGACAACTGTCGTTAAGATATTCCTTAATTTTAGCAGATAAAAGTTGTGATACCTTGTGTAAAGCCTTTTTTCCTTAACTAAGGACATGTTTTTAAAATTTCCAGAAACAATAATAAGATGTGGAAACCAGTAACCTACTTTTTTATTGTGAACATATTTTTCGTTAAATGCATACAATTACTACTTATTAATCAATGAAAGCACGTTGGTCATTTAGGATACAGTTTAATGTTTGACTGAAATTGTTTTGAGGAATATTACCGAAAAAAGGGGTTAACAAGTATGTTTAATGTTAAAAGGCACGAATTTACGACTTATTAGCTAAAATTTTGTTTTATATCGATACTTCAGATATTACAATAAGCGTTATTCACGTCAGAAAATGTGGTCATTTTAATGTACCGAAAAGCCCATTTTGCTATTATCAGAGTACATTTATTGAAAAAAAATTATTCCATCTTTCAGACTGTATTTATGATGAAATTTACGTCACCAGCATCACAGCGTTTACAGGGTTTTTCTAAATGTCAGACTGCCGTCGACATACATTGTACATGTATTTAAACAACATAAATGATAAAAGTGCACTTAAGAATTAAATATCAAAATGATTTTAATTCACAGAAATCCAATATAAAACTCGTTGAGTTAAACTAGATATTGTTCTTAAAATGACACCTGTTTTAAGGCTCAAACTTAATCAGTTTGTCTATTTTACACCTTTAAATGACACTTGTTTTAGGACTCAAACTTACTTCTTACATTTTCAAAGAATACTTTATCAGCATCGAATAAATGTTATTGTTATTATTTTTTCTAAGGTTATGAAAATCAGAGTGAACCGTAAAAATGGAGATCACAATAATTAGTCGTAAAGCCGTCATGAGATAATACAACCTTCGTTTTAAAATTACCCCCAGTGTGGAATTATTGTCCACATATGGTAGACGGAGACGTTTTAAAAATGATCTTTTTAAATATATGGAGGTTTATGAAATTGTCACTATCTTTTTGCAGATGAAGTTTTTAAAATTATCAACATTGTAGAACAAATATAACAGTGTTGAATTAATTCCATTTTATAAGGAATTACAGAATACATTTTATATACTTGGGATTTGGAACTGATCCCAAACCGTTGGTGCTGTTTTTTTATTCCTAAATAATTCATTTTACAAGTGTATTGCATAGTGGTTAAGTTAAAAGGAATCATTAACGTGGCATTTTCATCATTCCTTTTATGTTCGTTTGATATCTTTTATATCACCTACCACCTCACCCCTTGTACTTGTATTGTTTCTGTATTTCAAAACTCCCACTGTCCCCTTATCCCCTTCCTTACCGCATCTCAATCACATAAGTCCTTCCTTCTATTAAACAAGGCAGTGGTATCACTATAGTGTTCACCATATGACATTTGAAATAAAACTTGATAAAAAGACTATATTTACCGTAAGATCTGCTGCATGGTGATTTCTGTTCCGATGACTCAAAGCACTTGTAGGGACTGTAGTATGACTCCGTACTCTTACGCCTGGCATCCGATTCTGTATCCTTGGTTAAGATGTCTTCAATAAAGAATGATTTGCCCGTTTTTCGTTCAGGAGAGTTCGTCTGTTCTGTATGAGAGGATTCGTCGTCACCACTCATGATTTTTTCTTTAAATCTACTATCGATTGGATTTAACTTAAATCATTTAATTGACTCACGGCGTCAATTCCAAAAGAGTTCGCAATGTCATCAATTTTTCTTAGTTAATCGTTGAGGTTCATCAGTCTTGAAATTGTATGGTTTGGTATTGTCTTAAGATTTTTATCAAATACAACTTAAAACGATTAAAGTCTTCGCTTAAAACAGATTATTCCTAAGTAGACATGAGGCAATCATAACAGTAGTGATTCATGTGGTCAGTCTGAACTTGGTTTGTAAAATGACTTCTATGACTAACGAATGGTCAGTTTATTTATCCAAAGACGTCGATCACTTATTGTAATAAAACTGACTTTTCAATGTAAGCTCATGGGATACAGAAGCGTGTCCATTGGTCATTCAAATTGGTCTTCTCAAATTTAAATAGTTACGACCATTCTTTCGTGAGAAGGAGTCAAGTGAAGTTAAGTGAGTACGGGGGCCTTTGACGTGTCTATCGTAATTACTTGAGCATTTTTGGTTTGATGTTAAACGTGATAAGTCTCGATATCACATTGTAATTCTACCTTATTTATACAAGTACGGATTTCTTTCTGAAGCTTATCTTCCATCGTTACCTGAGGCAAAAGCCGGTAAAATGGTTCGATAATAAACGCCTTTAAAATGATGTATTCGGAAAAATTATCTATTTCGCCTTTCATCACGCTTGAGAGATTCGACCAATGAAAAATGATACTAATTACAGAATTAACCAATCGGCGACTTTGTTATATGATTAATTGACCAATGACAATACAAGTAATGATTACCTTCGTTAAGGTGTTGCAGCCAAGCGTACTGTCCACAATGGAAGTCGTAGCTGCGAACATAAAACGTATCATTAGGGTTTGGTTTCTTCGGCAGAAAATGGCCAAAGGGAAGATTGGCCGGAGAGCGCTGGACCTCGTAACTTGTAATTTGGCCTGTTTATAAGCCGAATGACGTCTCTCGACATATGGCGGACACATTGCACAAATGGCACTCTTGTTTGGACCTCATTGACGGACAATAAATAATCTGAAAAGAAATATTGACCATAATTTGTTATCCGCTTGCTGTCAATGAGAATATTTTATTTCAACAATGAAGATGGTAGCTTATAACATGTTTGCTCACGTGCTCGTCTTTGATAGGTTGTCAGTGGCATGGTGTCCGTTTCTGCTTTATTAGACCATTTTGAAACTTTTGATGGTAAAAGCTTTCGTGTAAAAGGTCACCATGAACTTGTAGGATTCTAAGAAACAAAGTAACCGTGACACACCTGCTTAGAAAGAAACAAATTGCTTATCTTTTATATCAATTATCAAACTAAATCCAAACATGAAAACCAGCTTTACATTACCTTTGTAATAGACATAGAAAACGTCCTTTTTTTTACCTGATTTATTTAATATGTTAAGTATGTCTATCAGCCAGTCTGCAGTTATCTTGTGTTGGAAGTATAGAAATCTTCCATGAAACACCAGATGGATTTACCATTATGTTATTCACTAAAAATCGACTATGATTACTGAAATATATAAAATATATCATTGAATGTCCAAATTCTTTTTCAGTGAAACTACATTCATCATTCAAAATATGGAAGAATGTATGTAAACTGCTTGATATAAACAACATTGTACAGGTCTTTACACTTAGTCTACCATATAAGATTAACCGTAAGCTGATGTTGTTTCCATGGTGTCGTCTGTACCATCCTAGACCTTAAAACCGGAAGTCTTAGGGGGGGGGCGTTTTCGAGCAGCACTCCTCATAAGTATATCTGTCCTAAATGATAAACCAGAAGTATTCGATATAGGATTAATGTTAAAGCAGTTTTGTTTTGTAATCATGTACATATTTTGCTCTTCTTTCTTTATTTTTATTATTATTATTTTTTATAAATCGTTTATTAATCTAAAGTTTAAACACCTCCTAAAATTGAATTATATATGAACCATGGGTCTAGTGTACATCCCATATAGGTTTTGCCATTCCTTTCGATAACTTTTGTGTTTTTTTCCTTTGTCGCCGCCTAGGTTTCATGATATAAGTCTTTAGCATTACCGACGAGTCCCATAAGGACGAAACAGCTGTTTAAAGAAATTCAATTATCTAATTAATTAATTTATAAATATTAACGTCAGATTATAAACTCATTCATTGATATTCCAGATTATTGCATGGGTTACCACGTTTTTCCTTGTGAGTAGAAATAAACCACACAGAGAAGAGAAGGGAGAAGAGGTACAGAGGGACAAACAGCGAGTTGGGTCCTTCCCAGGCATACCCTGGCCATTAGGTCTAATGACCACTCAATGCTGTGGACAGCGCCAACGTACCTTGTATATACTCCCACCCCATTCCTCCCCCGAAAATAAACATGAAGTAGAGAAAATGGAAATTTATTTCATTATGTTGACATTAGTTACTACTGGATTTCTTCGTCATCAATTTCCTCATCAGTTCATCGTCATCAATTTCCTCATCAGTTCATCGTCATCAATATCCTCATCAGTTCATCGTCATCAATATCCTCATCAGTTCATCGTCATCAATATCTTCATCAGTTTATCATCGTCATCAATATCCTCATCAGTTCATCGTCATCAATATCCTCATCAGTTCATCGTCATCAATATCTTCATCAGTTCATCATCGTCATCAATATCCTCATCAATTCATCGTCATCAATATCCTCATCAGTTCATCGTCATCAATATCTTCATCAGTTCATCGTCATCAATATCCTCATCAGTTCATCGTCACCAATTTCCTCATCAGTTCATCGTCACCAATATCCTCATCAGTTCATCGTCATCAATTTCCTCATCAGTTCATCGTCATCAATATCTTCATCAGTTTATCATTGTCATCAATATCCTCATCAGTTCATCGTCATCAATATCCTCATCAGTTCATCGTCATCAATATCTTCATCAGTTCATCATCGTCATCAATATCCTTATCAATTCATCGTCATCAATATCCTCATCAGTTCATCGTCATCAATATCTTCATCAGTTCATCGTCATCAATATCCTCATCAATTCATCGTCATCAATATCTTCATAAGTCCATCATCGTCATCAATTTCCTCATCAGTTCATCGTCATCAATTTCCTCATAAGTCCATCATCGTCATCAATTTCCTCATCAGTTCATCGTCATCAATATCCTCATCAGTTCATCGTCATCAATTTCCTCATCAGTTCATCGTCATCAATTTCCTCATAAGTCCATCATCGTCATCAATTTCCTCATCAGTTCATCGTCATCAATATCCTCACCAGTTCATCGTCATCAATATCCTCATCAGTTCATCGTCATCAATATCCTCATCAGTTCATCATCGTCATCAATATCCTCATCAATTCATCGTCATCAATATCCTCATCAGTTCATCGTCATCAATATCTTCATCAGTTCATCGTCATCAATATCCTCATCAATTCATCGTCATCAATATCTTCATAAGTCCATCATCGTCATCAATTTCCTCATCAGTTCATCGTCATCAATATCTTCATCAGTTCATCGTCATCAATATCCTCATCAATTCATCGTCATCAATATCCTCACCAGTTCATCGTCATCAATATCCTCACCAGTTCATCGTCACCAATATCCTCATCAGTTCATCATCGTCATCAATATCCTTATCAATTCATCGTCATCAATATCCTCATCAGTTCATCGTCATCAATATCTTCATAAGTCCATCATCGTCATCAATTTCCTCATCAGTTCATCGTCATCAATATCTTCATCAGTTCATCGTCATCAATATCCTCATCAGTTCATCGTCATCAATTTCCTCATCAGTTCATCGTCATCAATATCCTCATCAGTTCATCGTCATCAATTTCCTCATCAGTTCATCGTCATCAATATCTTCATCAGTTCATCATCGTCATCAATATCCTCATCAGTTCATCGTCATCAATATCCTCATAAGTCCATCATCGTCATCAATTTCCTCATCAGTTCATCGTCATCAATATCCTCATCAGTTCATCGTCATCAATATCCTCATCAGTTCATCGTCATCAATATCTTCATCAATTCATCGTCATCAATATCCTCATCAATTCATCGTCATCAATATCCTCATCAGTTCATCGTCATCAATATCCTCATCAGTTCATCGTCATCAATATCCTCATCAATTCATCGTCATCAATATCCTCATCAGTTCATCGTCATCAATATCCTCATCAGTTCATCGTCATCAATATCTTCATAAGTCCATCATCGTCATCAATATCCTCATCAATTCATCGTCATCAATATCCTCATCAATTCATCGTCATCAATATCCTCATCAGTTCATCGTCATCAATATCTTCATAAGTCCATCATCGTCATCAATTTCCTCATCAGTTCATCGTCATCAATTTCCTCATCAATTCATCGTCATCAATATCCTCATCAGTTCATCGTCATCAATATCTTCATCAATTCATCGTCATCAATATCCTCATCAATTCATCGTCATCAATATCCTCATCAGTTCACCGTCATCAATATCCTCATCAGTTCATCGTCATCAATATCCTCATCAATTCATCGTCATCAATATCCTCATCAGTTCATCGTCATCAATATCCTCATCAGTTCATCGTCATCAATATCTTCATAAGTCCATCATCGTCATCAATATCCTCATCAATTCATCGTCATCAATATCCTCATCAGTTCATCGTCATCAATATCCTCATCAATTCATCGTCATCAATATCCTCATCAGTTCATCGTCATCAATATCTTCATCAATTCATCGTCATCAATATCCTCATCAATTCATCGTCATCAATATCCTCATCAGTTCATCGTCATCAATATCCTCATCAGTTCATCGTCATCAATATCCTCATCAGTTCATCGTCATCAATATCCTCATCAGTTCATCGTCATCAATATCTTCATCAGTTCATCATCGTCATCAATTTCCTCATAAGTCCATCATCGTCATCAAT